TAATGCTTTATTGCACGTTTGTATTTTTCATGAAGATATAGGAAAATCACGTATAGGATTAGATTTAAAGGCTATCTAGAGAAACTTTTAATAAAATAGGAATATTGACCAACAAGCATGATTTAAAATTATTAATTTAAATTGTTGAACTAAAAATGGATTAGCAAGGAGGATTCTATATCCTAACAACACGTCTCACGAATATGATAAATTTTCTTTACATCAAGTTAGTTGATAGATTTAATATTGTTTAGTTACAATTTCATTTTGCTATTCGGTTAAGGGCATTGTTGGCTTTAACTCGATCAAACACATTATCCTTATTGGGTCAACACTCTACACATCACTTTATTACTTATTCACGATCCCGTCCACTTGCAGGAAGGATAAATATATATGTAAAAATAAATGTGTACAAAATGAGTTACTTACTCTCACAAACAAGCGGCCCCACGTGAATTTAAAAAAAGTCGGCTCGTGATCCCCATCTCCTATTGTGAGTAGTGAGTAAATGATTTTGTTAAAAAAGTTTGTAAGTGTAGCATGATCCTTTGCGGGAAATCAAACGATCAATTTGCTACAAGTATAGAAAATTTTTTGCAAAATTGTTATAGAGTTCCACTTGGTGCATTTTTATTGGTTGTTGTCCAAAAAAAAAAAAAAAAAAAAACCCAATACAACACCTGTATGGTGCCCGCTCCTTCACAAAATCCTAGAAACAAAAAGTTTAACATTTCATGTCTTGAGACTGAAATAAAACTTATCAATTGTGGGCTGGTCTAGTTTCAATTTTCCAATGGAACCAATCGTTCCAGTTTCACAATATCCAACAGGAATCAATTCAATCTGCTTCTCGAAAGAGCGAGACTAAGCTATCGGATGTCCACCATTACAATCTACCTCTTTCGAATGTTCACATCTAGGTATATCTCTCTCCTTGCATCACATTTTTCTTTAGTTTAATTTTTATGATCCAATCACAAATATTATTATTTAGAAAGTAGTTTGCTAAATCATGAAATGCTCGAAGTTATCAAATACTGGAAAATGTATACATGGATAATCGCCTCTTGTTATGGAGATAAATTTTATCTTGTGAATAACTGCCACTATACTCCCATATTGGAACTTCCAGAGGATCATGGTGTTGATCATATTGAATCTCTCTCTTTAATGCTTCAAAAATCGTTAGTCTGTTATGAACAAACTTTTGAAGCACCCTACGCAATTTTGCAAATTTCTTGGAGTAGTTTGCATCTCCGGACAATCTAGTTTATAGGGAAATGTGGGAGCAGAGCTGGTTATCGATCTTTCAAATCAAAAAGTAACTTCTTTCTCCAAACCTATTTACATATAGATGGTGAGTCGGGAAAACAAACATCCAGAACACGTACATACTATGTTCTTGCCGAAACGAAATTGGTGAACTCGAGATGTGACATGTCAGTGATGTATGCCACAGCAATGCAATTACACGACTGAGGCACGATGGAATAAAGAACTTTTGGCATCAATTCGAACTCTAATTTAGACTTGAATAACATAAATCTCCCTAGGAATTACCTGCCCCTTTAATACTCGTAAACAATCCAAAAGACAGATCAATTTTTATTAAAAACAATAAATATTGTACATTGGTTGCAGAATGTTCAGTCAAACCATCTAAACTGTCTATCATACCGAAAAATATCTATCAAAAAGTGAACATGTAACGAAGATAACAAGCCCGACTCTCAAATGGGACGTACAAATTGAATGTGGTGCGTGCGGATCTTACTACAGAATCGACAGTCCGTTCCAAGTTTCCAAGCAATCAGCTGCTATCTGATAACATTTGAAAATATATCAGCAGATAAAAGCGTTGCGATTTTAGAAAACAGTAATATTTAAGTAGTACATATTTATCGAAACATTTCAATCATTCAATTTTAGAACAGTATAAACACATGGATCATGACATATATATAATAATTTTTTTAAAAAACACTAAATAATGTTTGCAAAACAAGACGAATAACAATATTCTTGTGAATAAATTACTGATATCACTAGAAATCAACATATATACCATCATCTGATAATAATGTTGTGAAATACAAAAAAAATCTCGACATGTAGGTATCCATTGACAGCTTTACTTAGATACATAATAGAGTCAAATCTTATGTTGTAAATAAATCAAATGATAGACAAGTTCGATTAACCTCTTCATTTTTGTAGCCACCACTTCTACTTTGAATTTTTCTACCAAAAAAATGATTAAGAAGTTTTCCTCACTTCATACCCCATCAAAGAACAAGGGGTTACACAGAAAAGTAAATATTTCTTACCAAATTCAATCTATAACACCCTTCCATGCAGAATGATTGAAGGAAATGGAAGAAACAAACTTGGTCTGTCACACACTGTTCGCACAAAGCATCAATAATCAAACACGTGGACGATCAATGTAGTTGTATGTAAACCCAGAGCAATAGCATGATGAACCAAAAAGTCTCCAAGACCTATTGTCAAGAATAATGAATATACACAAACACACTTGCCTGCTACACAACCTGGTGTGCGTGCAGGTGCACACACATACATGCATGGAATGCTTAGACAATATTAGAGCTCGAATAGAAAACTCCAGTCAAGAGACCATGAAATGATGTAATCCCTGAATATCCAAGAAATACCTCTTATCTCATTAGAATTGGATCTGGATAAATTTCTATGTCCGCATTGTAACCAGTTCATCCATCCCACATTGCCTAATTTGTACTACCATTTTTTCATCAAAAGATGGAGAAATATCACAGCAATGACGACGGGGTGTCTTCAGCTGATATTAGAAAACAAAAAAGTCTTTCATCGTTAACAAGAGTATTAATCATTAAATAACCAAGATTAAAAGAACATGGAGAACCTGCTCAATGTCAAAATCTAGCTTTGGTGATAAAACTCTTATAACTTTTAGTTTCTCGATGGCTTTCAGTCTAACACAACTGTCAACATCACGTTTGGTGTAGCTGGTCCAGACCTGATTCGTGTCAGAAACAACAGTATCCATGAAGAAAACAGCAGGTCTTTTGCATGGATCCCTAGGGAATTCTCTAGTGTTGAACATATAGTGGCTTGAATCCACATTTTTGCCCCTCCTCCATGGTCTAAAACTTTTCTGCAGTGAGAGGATATCCAGAAGAAGTTTGTTTCCCTCATATATTTGAACAGCATATCCCCATGCAATTGAAATGGTTAATGAGTTAGCGTGGTCATAGCAAACAGTTTGTTGTAGAACCTTAGCTGGATCAACTTGTACGGCCTTGAAAAGGTGTTCCAAAGATTGAATCCTGCTCATACCAGGAAAGATTGGTTCTACTGCTTCCATATGATGAAGTGATAGAAGCGGCGATAATGGATGGGCTGCTAGAAATCCAAACAGATTTCCCCGAACATCAACCTAAAAATACAGGACAATTGAGTAAACACACTAACAAAAAACATGATAAGTATTATAAGCTTAAAAATCATTAAAACCATACAAATTTCATCTTTTTTAATCAACAATTGATTTTTAAGATTCACACCAATTGAGAAGAAAAGAGTATTTAAATCTTTAAACAGATCAGGGTTAACAACATATCCAAAGTCCGAACATAATTATAATAAGCCACACAACTGCATGCATTGAAGACGAAAATATTACCCAAATAGTTTATATGCATTTATGCCTGTGATTCCAAGTTCTCAAAAGATTATCTGTTGCACCTATTACCACTACTCCCACGAGATAACCAATAAACGTATTGAATATGGATTCAATGTCATGTAGTTTCGGCATGTTCCTGGAAAATACCATTACGAAAAACAAAGGACAAACTTTTGCCAACAAATAAATCTACTAATTAATCGATACTTCAACTAAAACCACATTTCTTATGTGGGAGCTCGCATTCTGATAAGAACAAATAAATATATGATCAAGTGATTACTTTACAACTCCAAGTTAGTAGCCAATTACATATTAAATACTTCACTCAGAATAAAATATTATACACGAAATGTAATACCTGATGAAACCCGGGTTCAGGGGTCAACCCAACCCCAAGCTCCGACAAGCACGCAAAAATCCGAGCGTCACTGCCATACAAATGGGGGTACCTATCAAGACAAGAGTCAAGAACCCGAGCCAAAACCCTGGCCAACGGTGCACTAATTGCGAACCCACCGCCCCCAAAAGCCATATTAAAGAAGAATTTATCATTCTGTTCAAAGCTCTCAGAGCCATAGCCAATGTAGTACCACCGATTGTGATCGTACTTGGACAAAATTCTTACTAAATTCTCAGTGAAAAAGACAGTGTCATCGTCCCCGAAAACATACCAGTGAATATTTGGGATGTCGAGGGTAACAGCATCTTTAACGATGAGGGCAATGCGGTAACCGGATGGGAGATTGGGGGAGGACTTGGAGGAGAGTACAATAGGGGGAATCGAGGAAGGATTTGTGGCTTCAGTTGTGGGCCTGTCTAGGAAGATGAAGGTGTTGTTATGGACAGAAATAGGATCGCACCAGAGACGGATATAAGGAATTCGGCGGGGGAGTGAGGAGGATGAGGAAGCAATGGAGAAGAGGACGTCGTGAACGGAAAGTGGAGGAGGAGGAGAAGGAGGGAAATTGACAGCCGCGGAGGTGGCGGCGGGAAGGGCGGGGCCGCGGTTGTTGAGGTAGAAGAGGAGGGTGAGAGAGAGAAGGGTGGAGAGGACCAAGAGTCTGTTTTTGATGCGTGATCGAGGGACGATGGGTCTTGAAAATATGGGCATTTCGACCGAATCGAGGGACGGAACCTGCGATTACGAACTATAAAGGAATATTTCTTAGTTTTGGGAAAATTAGAATCGTGGTCCTTCACCTTTACTTGATAGACTACTTAGGTTTTCAATTGTATCATTTATGCCCCCGGATACAACAAAGTCGTCCTTTTCTTTTTTTAATTACCTATGAAGGGAAACGTTAACATCTTAACTCTTTTTATTACAGAACGAGATCGACGGATTATCATATGCCTCTGTGCCTTTCAAAGTTCACAAAATATGAATCCTTACAATTTCTTAGTCAAAGTAAATTATTTATGGTTAACATGTGCTAGCATCAATGAACTAGATTGACAAGTCATTTGATCCATCACTTTGAAGTCCTTTTCTGTTAATTTGTGTTGGCTAGCTCGTCTGTTATAGTATCTCTTCTTTTCAGATATGCATAATATTGATTTCCATATTTCATTTTCAAATTTATATATGTTTCAATCAATATTGATATTTTAAGTGCATTTCCTATTCTCTCTCTTCTTTTTTTTACTAGGATCCCGCAGTCGCTACTATTTGGATGCACATTGGGTAAATCCTTGGATTGACACAATAGCCTGCAAATCACGCCAGTCAGGTAAACCACACTATGCAAACCTTGTGCGACAAACTCGATCGAAAAAGTATTTTTATGGGGAATTGAATTGTATTCACTATGCAAGCCCTGTGCGACAAACACGATAATGAATCTATGTTAGTTGACATATTTATATTCAAGTGTCAAAGCACTTGTATTTAGGCTCTTGACTCAACTCCCAACTTCCATAGACGAGCAATTTCCGTTAAAGGCCAACAACAAATACCCCTGAATCTCTCCAACTAAAACGGAAATTTTTGGTTTTCAAAAAAATTAGAGTTGAATATGATAGAGTATTAAAAACTCATTTATGTAAATAATAATAATAATAATAATAATAATAATAATAATAATAATAATAATTGTTTCGCTCGGGTAGTTGCTAACAATTAAAAAGGGATCAGACGATTATGTAAGAAACAAACCTCTTGAGACAAAGTCCCAAAAATGGGTGTTTTATTGACGATGACTTTACAATTGAAAACTAAACAGAATGCCTCCAAGGGGTGCAAGCACACGAGTACTGAAAAGAAATAAAAAGTCTAAACTAAGAAATTGAAATTACATATTCTCTGTTTGAGAGTGTTTTTTTCGAGCTACCTTTACTTTATGTCTTCTCTTCCTTTTATATTCCCTTGATGATTTTTTCGTGATCAACCGCTTAGAAACTGCTTGATTGCTTTATAACTACCCACTTTCTCTACGGTGGCTACCGTGTTGTGGAACTGCCGTCTCTAACTGCTGTCACTACTCTTTATCGTTCAACCGTTTTCAACTGAACTCCTTGAATCATGGAACGTGATAAGGTTACTCGATAACTGTTTCAATAACTGTGCTTCTGGAAAACTATAACATCTTATGTTTGTTAAGATCTTGGGCGATTCGAAGGTTTGGGCGAGAACAAGGTCATAGCTCTGGGCGACTGTAAGGCACTTCATTCGCTCAGATCTTGGGCGTCTTGCAAGCTTGGGCGATGGTGTTACTGTATTCGTGGGCTTTCACTACATTCATTAATAACCATATCAGGGCCTTTATCCTGAATTGCCCAGTTGGGCTTCATTCTTTGGACTATTTGATTTGGGGATTCCTCAATTGGACTTCGTTCCCTGGGCTATTCGATTTAGACTGCACTTTTAATGTGTCAACAATTACCCCCAATATAGCATAATTAATACCAATTATTAATCTTTGCCATATTTACCTTGTATTTTCCAGCAACATTTGAAATTCCTAAGAATTTCAATCATTATTTCCTTTCATAGCCTGAAAAAGTGCAACGCTACAAACCCTTATAAACCCCAAAAGACACGCCATTTCGTTGTACCACTAAATCACGTCTCATTATTTCGCGCTTCTTTCTCGCCATACCACTATTCATCTTCTTGCTTCTCTGCTACGTTTCTCGAGCAAATTTTAGCAAAACTGTATTTCGTTTCCAATGACTGCTCCACAAACCCAATATGATGACTCTTTTAGCTTCGACGATTTTCAGAAAATTCTCACTCGGCCATATGTAAATCCGAACTTTCTTGCACCAGCCAATGTCGAACTTAATGAGTTTTACCTGGGTCCTTCATTCACCAACGCCGAAGCCGTCGAACAACTGGCGGTGGGCCAGCTGTTTTCTTGTACTCAAGGCCCTCCATTCCTGAACTCTTTGCCGCTGAGGCCTATTTGCGAAAAAGGTATTCGAACTTGGCCTAAATTTGATGCTGTTTTCCGTAGATAGCATGCTCGCCTTGTGGGCTATGGTCCTACCAAGGTAATTTTTGATCGTGCTAAGATTTCTGATTTATTAGAAATCTCTCTTCAACCCTCAATTTTTGACTCAGCACTTTTTCCTATTACTTTAAGTTTTTGGTCTTCTGAATATAATACTTTTATTTTCCCTCTTGGTCCCATGTCAATCACTTTAAGGGATGTTGGGGCCCTGATAAATCTTCCACATTTGGGTGACACCATTTTCCCTGGTATTTTGATTTCTGGTGTTGCCCCCAAAAATTGACAAAAAACTCACTGAGTCCTATTCAAGCTTGCAAAGCTGTTATAATCACTCAAACGCTGAACCTTCCCATGCTGAGCGTGTGGCCTTTCTTCAGATATGGCTTTATAAATATATTCTGTGTGTGTCCAGTTTGAAGCCTTCTATGAGCTATTTATCCATAGCGCACGAATTGGCGCGTGATAGACCTTTAAATTTGTGTTCCTTCTTTTTGGCTACCCTCTATAGAGGCATGGCTTCTCTTCAATTTCAATTGAAGAATGATGCATCTCCCACTGACAGTGGGCCTCTTTGGTTCGCTCAAGTATGGTTGAAAGCCTATTTCCCATCACTTGGTGCTCTATCTATGTCCATTCGTTCTGCTACCTGCTATGGGCTAGCCATTAACCTATTGAGCCCTGTAAATATGTCCAGAATGGACATTTTTCATTCTTTTATACTTTAAATTCAATTCCTTATTTTTTCCCTTTCCTGCTCATTTAACTCCAGACTATGTGCAACCTCCATCCACCCTGGACAGTGCGAGCGCCTTTCTGCTCGTTTGGGTTCAGTTTTTGACTGGGAGGGAGTTGTTCCATGATATTTTAACTGGAACCAATGCCAAAGCTGGGATTGAAATATATGCTCCCCAATTTTTTGCTCGCTAACTTGATTTTGGCCAAATTTGGCCTGTTCCCCCTTGTTATTCAAAAAATTTGATAGACCGCTTTCACACCATTAATAAGGTAGAGGCATAAGCTATAAATGCTCGTAATATTCTTTTGACAAGTAACTTTTCATTAGCCCCCTTCGATCCTAGCCGTATCGTTCACCCCCTTTTTGAACAACTCTGGCCATCAGTAAAGCGTAGATTGTTTGCAATTGATGTCAATTATGCTTTCCATTCACTGGATCAACCGAACATTCCTTCCACTTCTCCTATTTTGGTCACCCCTGTGTCCATTAGAAATCTTTCCTCCCCCGCTCGTGCTAAACAATCTGTTCATCCCTTTACTTCTCTACCTGCCAATCCTATTGCAGCTAAGAGCGCCCCAAGCCACAAACGGTCAACTTCAGCATCTCCCATTTTGGAGGATGATGATGATGATACTCCTCTCATCGTCAGGAGAAAGGGAATTGAATTGAATTCTATTTACTCACAAGCATACCTTTCTATGTGCTAATGATTTTCTTGAATTTCTCAAAAAAGTTCAGCCTCTCTTTTGAAGGCTTTGGTGTTGGCAGCTCCTGCTCCATCATCCTCTGCTGGAGCTGCTTCGTCCAAACCAGCTGATGAAGGGACTACGCTTAAAGAGAAACCTTCAGTCCCGGAACCTTCATCACAATCAGTGGACGAGCCACCTTCTTCCCAGGGCGCCAACCCCCTAAACGTCGAACTAGAAGGTAATACATTTTTGATGTTTTACCTTTGCTCGTGCTATTAGTTTCTGATTTGTTGCTTCTTTAATCATGCAGAGGCTTCCATGGGTTTGCCCGTTGTGGCAGAGTCTTCTCGCCCAGACAAGGGGAAGTCTCCCCTGGTGGTGGGGCCACAGGTGGTGGAGCCAACTGGTGATATGCCATCCCATAAGATTGCTGATAAAGTAACTTTTTGCTTCACTTTTATTTTCACTTTGTTTATTGTAGTGAAAACCTTCAATGTTGGCATTTTTTCTTTACATGATGTTGATGAGATTGTATGTTCCATCCAGGACTTGTTCACTTCCTAGGGGCAAGCCAAGACGTCTCGCCCTGCTACAACCGATCGTCCTCCTGCTTCTTCAGAGGAAGACATGAAGTTTCTCAAGCAGTCGATATTTGAGTATGTATCTTTTATGGATATGGACATCGGTCAGGCTAGTGCTGCCAAACATAAAGATAAACTTGAGCATTTGAGTGCTAAGTTGGCGCAAGCACTGACACTTCCGTCGCTCAACATTTCTGCTGATTTTAAAGCGACGTTGAAAGTTGTCCACTCTGACAACCTCTCTTTGCTGGCAAAAAATGTTGAACTGAAGGCCATGAGTACTCAATATCTTCGCGCTGCCTCTAAAAGAGAGTCTTTGCTTCGGGAAATCAACAAAGCTGAGGACGAATTGAAAGAAATATCTTCCGAAGTTATGATTGAAGACTTTTTGATGACCAGTTTGGCTGCACAGATGAAGGAGTTTCAAGCAAGGATGGATGACTGCAAGGCGAGAATGGCTGCTAAAAAGCGTAATGCTTCCCAAGAAATTGAGCGAACCAAGTCTTTGGTTGAGCAGTACAAGAAGCTGGAGGTTGATGATGATTATGTAGCTGAATTGAATGTCACTTCTTCTCATCAGAGTGAGGATTGGGGGAGACTTAGGAAAAGAATTTGTTCGGTCTGGGGCGAATCGTAATTAAGACATCTAATGCCTTAACTTTTCTTTTTATAACTTCGTATTCACTTTCCTCTTGTAACCTCGTACTGATAGCCATTGCCAATTTTGGATGTAACAGCAACCATTGTCATTAATGAACAACTAATTTGTCTTCTTGTGTATTTATTGACGTTTGTCCTTAATCGTCAAACCCCCTAAGCATTTAACTATTTTATGATAAGATTCATGTACATTCTCTTTTGGTATTTCTATCTCTTTTCCTAAGACTTTGGGTCCTTTAACTCCAATTACTAGGCACGAATGTGGTTGTTCATATTCTGTCTCTTCACCTTCACGCCCCTATAAATGCACGTATATTTCGTACTTTTCATTTTCATTTTCATTTTCATTTTCATTCTTTTCTTCAAAAACTAATTTGCTGCCATTGTTTGGCATCTCAACGATCGATCCAGCATTTTCGTCTTCCATAGAAATGGATCA